TCAGTTTGCCCAGTAATCACTGTACAGCAAAGCCATCTACTGCCACAAATCTTGCTGAATATGAAAAACCCATGACAGTGAAAAAAGAAATATTCACAGCTCATATTTTCTATCTCTTCAAACTAACTCAAAAAACATACAGAAAGTCAGGGACTGGCCAACCCCTGAAAACCCCAATGAAGTCAAAGCATTTTAGGCCTTTGCTCTTATTACAGGCATTTCATATACCAGTTTGTAAAAATGTCACAACAACTGCAGGCTTTCACACAGAAGGGAAGGCCATTTACATGCACAGGCACTGAACAAGCATTTGATTCTCTCAGCCATTTACTTACCCATGCACCAATTCGTGCCTATCCAGGAATATCTCCTCTTTACTGATGCCTCCAGTACAGCTATTGGATGTGTTCTGTCCCAACAGAATGATGACAACAGGGAAATTGTTGTAGCTTAAGCCAGCCACATTCTGACACCTACCGAGAAATGCTGATCCACTTACGTTGTGTGCTATTGAATGGTCAATTGGCTTTTTATGCCAGTATGTTACAGGACATCCTTTCGTATCATCACAGACAACAAGCCCCTACTTGATCTGAGGAAAATGTCTCTAGACTGTGACTCAAATGGACGCAGATGAAGATGAGCTCTAGAGATTGACCCATATGCCTGGACAATTGAATACAGACAAGGATCGAAACATGTCAATGCTGACTCAATGTTGCGCCAACCTTCCACATGTGAGGACTCTTCTGCTGCAACTGTAAGTCACCATGCAGGTTTCCAAGTTTCAGTTCAAACTCAAACAGAGCTGGAGACACTAACTTTAAATGCCATTGCCTCTCACACTGCGCTGCCAGCAACCCGTTTCACCTTCAACTCTGCTTTTGCAACCAGCTTCCTCTTTTAGCAAGGAAAGGAAAGTCTCATGATATGCACAGTATAGTAGTTGTGTAAGCTCAGAGAGATAATCCTGTGTTGAAAACAGTTATTGATTGAGTTTTTGCTGAAAATTCATGATGCACTTTGTAATGAGTCCCACATCAGTCCCACAATCACCCAAATCTCTTCTAATGCATTACATCTACTGCACCAGTCCTACAATCAGCCTTATCTGTACTAATGTCATTATAGCTACTGCGTCAGTCCCACAGTCTCAAATCTGTTCTCATGTCATTACAGCAACTGTAGATCTATAATCACCTAAATCTGCACTACTGCCGTTATAGCCACTGCTTTATTCCCAAAATCACTCAAATCTCTTCTAATGACATTATAGCTACACTGTATGGGCAAAAGTATTAAGACACTCCTCCTAATTATTGAGTCCAGGTGTTTCAGCCACACCCATTGCGAACAGGTGGATAAAGTTTAGCTCAAAGTCTTGCAGTCTCAATAGACAACACTGACAGTAGAATGGGTCGTACTGATGAGCTCATTGACTTTAAACATGACACTGTAATAGGATGCCACCTTTGCCACAAGCCAGTTTGTGCAATTTCTGTCCTGCTAGATCTGCCCCTGTCAACTGTAAGTGCTATTATTGTGAAATAGAAGCACCTAGGAGCGACAACAGCTTAGCCCACGCAAACTCACAGAGTGAGGCCGCCGAGTCCAGAAGCGCACACTGCCTATCCTCTGTTGAAACACTAACTAAAGAGTTCCAAATTGCCTCTGGAAGCAACATCAGCAAAAGAAGTGCATGTTAGGAGCTTCACATAATGGATTTCCATGGCACAGCAGCTACACACAAGGCTAAGATCAAAATGCACAATGCCAAGCATCAGATGGAGTGGTGTAAAGCACATCGCAACTGGACTCTGGAGCAGTGGAAACATATTCTACAGAATCATGAATCACGCTTCTCTATCTGGCGGTCTAATGGACAAGTCTGGGTTTAGCAAATGCCAGGAGAACGTTACCTGCCTGACTGCATTGTGCCAAGAGTAAAGTTTGGTGGAAGAGGGAGAATGCTATGGGGTTGTTTTTTAGGGGTTGGCCTAGGACCCTTAGTTTCAGTGAAGGGAAATCTTAATGCTTCGAAATACCAAGACATTTTAGACAATTGTATGCTACCAATTTTGTGGGAACAGTTTGGGGAAGACCCTTTTCAGTTCCAGCATGACTGAGCCCCAGTGCACAAAGCAAGGTCCATAAAGGCATGGTTGCCTGGCCCACACAGAGCTCTGACCACTACCCCAGTGAATACCTTTGGGATGAACTAGAATGGAGATTGCGAGCCAGGCCCTCTCGTCCAACATCAGTGTCTGACCACACAAAGGCTCTTCTGGATGAATGGGCAAAACTTCCCACATACATTCTCCAAAATCTTGTAGAATGCGTCGAAGTCGAAGAGTCGAAGTCGAAGAGTCGAAGCTGTTATAGCTGCAAAGAGGAGACCAACTTTTGTCCATATAGTGTATGTCTGTACTAAAGCATTACAGCTACTGCATCAGTTTCATAATTACCCATATCTGCAATAATTCCACTTTGGCCACTGCATTTTTCTTACCATCACCCATATCTGTACTAATGCTATTATAGCTACTGCATTAGTCCTAAGATACCCCATATCTGTACTAATGACATTACAGATACTGTTCTATAGTGTGTCTTATTGTGTTGTCTTTCTCTGATAGAGATGTCTTGCAAATTCAGCAGAAAATTGGTAATGCTCTTTCTAACAAGACTAGTGCCACGCTGGTGCCAAAATTCAGCCAGGGTCACTCGTCTTCATGGACTATGCCATGAGGTACCCAGAGGCCATCTCTCTTAGAAAAGCCATATCAAAGACCATATCTTAGGAGTGCTTTCTCTTCTGCAGCCATTGTCACACCGCACCTAGAGGAAGCCCAAGTGCCATTACAGCTACAGCATCAGTCGCACAATCATCCATACCTGTTTAAATGCCATTACAGCTATTGCATCAGTCCCACAATCACCCATATCAATATTAATGCCATTATAGCTTCCGCATCAGTCCCGCAATCTCACACATCTGGACTAACGCCATTACAGCTACTGCATCAGTTTCATATCTGTATTCTCTCGCATATCTGTACTACTTCTATTATGATCACGGCATCATTCCCACAATTACCCATATCCATATTAATGTCAGCATAGCCACTGCATCAGTCCCACAATCAGCCATATCTTCATGAATGTCATTTTAATCTGCTTCTAAAAGGGCAGAGTAGGGCTTTAGGTGTATTTCTGTATCATTTGAGTCCCATCATTTTGCAGGTTTGTTCATTTACAAATGTTGTTTTCAGGAAATAATCTATGTAGGAATAGTCATGAAGTTCTGCTTACACCATGTCATTCCTGTCAGACCTGATACACTGCATTTAGAGGTCATGTAAGGTGTGGCATTTAGGTGTTGTTTTAAGACTTTAATTCAGCTGTGTGATACAGAAAGTGAAATTCAACACTGAGAACTCTCAGATCTCCTGCCAGTCTTCCAAGGTGTGTCCATGTGAATAAGATGTTAGGTGATTTTGGCTTGGTGATTTTGCAGTGACAGTGTGGTTTGTGGTTTTCTGTGAAGAACAACACACAGTTGGCAGCATGTGATTGGCCCATGCACACACACACTCAATCAGCTGTCTTCAGCAGCCTTATAAATGGCACTCTGTGCTCAGATTAATGTGTGACAGTGCAAATAGTAATGATATCCAGAAGTCACGTGACACTACACTGACAGGCATAACATTATGACCACCTCCTTGTTTCTACACTCATTGTCCATTTTATCAGCTCCACTTACTATATAGGTGCACTTTGTAGGCACAGAGCAGGTACTATTTGGGTCTGATCCACTCAGACCAGCACAACACACACTAACACACCACCACCATGTCAGTGTTACTGCAGTGCTGAGAATGATCCACCACCCAAATAGTACCTGCTCTGTGAGGGTCCATGGGGGTCCTGACCACTGAAGAACAGGGTAAAAGGGGGCTAACAAAGTATGCAGAGAAACAGATGGACTACAGTCTGTAATTGTAGAACTACAAAGTGCACTTATATAGTAGGTGGAGCTGATAAAATGGACAATGAGCGTAGAAACAAGGTCATAATGTTATGCCTGATCGGTGTATATAGAACTTATAGGAATAAAATGCTCCCAATTCTACTCTAATGAGATGTGAATTATATATAAATATATTAATTAATTTGTCTTTAAGCAAAATTGTCTTTTAGTTAGGGGTTAGCACAGTGGCGCAGTGGGTACTGGTGCCGTCACCTCACAGCAAGAAAGTAGTACAGTTTGATTCCCCGGCTGGGTGACCAGGGTCCTTTCTGTGTGGACTTTTTGCATGCTCTCCATGTATCTGCATGGGTTTCCTCCCACAGTCCACAGACATGCAATCAAGCCAATTGGACATGCTAAATTGCCCGTGTGTGAGTGAATGTGTATGTCTGTCTGTCTGCCCTGTGATGGACTGGTGACCTGTCCAGGGTGTATCCTGCCTTCTGCCTAGGCTCCAGCACCCCAGAAGGACAAGTGGCTTAGAAGTTGTGTGTTATTTAGAGGTTTCTTAGTGTGTCTAATAAAGTGCCACAGGGCCTTTGTCAATGGACTAAGGAAGAATGACAAGACATCTTTACAGTTCACAGGCATGCAGTTTATTCCTGAACAAAAGTTCTCAATGCTGGGGAAACTCTTCAACTCTTCAAAGGCAAAAACTGAAAAGGAGCATATGAAATCCTGTTAACTCCAGTATCTCCTACTGCATACATAAAATTAAAGTATATTGCCCTGCTATATCATGGTATTGTCAAAAGAAAAATGATTAATGAATTAGACTACTTTTTAGACTAGTGAATTACCCAAAAGATAAAACACCCACAGCCATTTTACAGCAAACTCAAGAATAGAATATGTTTAGCTAAGTACATTGTTAGCTTCCCTTCTATGGCAATTTCTGTGAACAGTGACACAACAATATTCTAAACAACAATTTACATAACTTTCGAAAGAGGCCATAACTGTACTTAAATGTAGACTTAAACTCATAATAACCCCAGAAAAAGACTGCAACATGAAAGCCTAAAAAGTGAATATTTTAAATGCATATTCAGCTATTAGCCTCCTACTTTCACTGAGCCTTCACTAAAAAGTTACTTAAGAGAAATCATAAACAAAAGCTCTTCTCTTAGCTACACAGAACCAGGACCAATAATATCACTTTACTGTAATGTTACTGTATAGTTAATAAATGCTTTGTACAGATTTTGTATGAGTCATGAATACTTTGTGAACCTAAATACTTTGAGCAATAATTAATGATTAATTTGGATCTGTCTTGTGTAATGTTTAGTATCATATGCCAAAATCATGGGTTTTAATATGGAGTTGCCTCCCCTCTCTTGTGGTTTATATACAAAAGTTTTTTCATAAACGTATAATATAATTATCCACAATACCACCAATAAGTCCTCCTACTGCACCTCCTACAGGGCCTACATATTTGCAACCTTCATGTGCTAGTCGCCCTGCATATGACTGATGGGACGCAGAACCTCTTTCAGCATCTCTCTTCCCTTCCTCATAGCCCTCTTTCTTGCCCTGTTCTCTGGCTTTGGTCACCGCCATGTCCAGTTTATAGCAGAATTCCTTTTCAGCTTGCAGTCTTGCCTTGTTCTCTGCCTCCTTCAACATCTTTTCTTTTTTTCTCTTGTACTTTTCTTTTTCCTGTTCCAGGTCTTCATGCATCTGTTCTTTAAGGGCCTGCTGTTTTCTTTCTACTTCCTTATTAAAAGCATCTTGCAGTGCTCTAAGTTTTTTGTCCATTTCTCTTCGGAGTTCTTCATTTTTCTCCATCTTAACTTGTGCTTCTCTCTTTTGAAACTCTTTTTCTTTTTCTCTCCTTTCTTTTTCCAGACTGTGCCTAACCTCTTCCATTGTCTTCTTCATTTTCTTAATTTCAACTTCATATTTAACTTTCAGTTCTTCTTTCTCTCTCTCTATCTCCTTCTGTCTCTCTATGAGTATTCTTTCTTTATCTTCTTTCAGAGCTTTCTCGACTTGCTGGAACATCTCATTAGTGTAACAGCTCCCTCCATTCACTGCCACCATGGAGCTGATCTTCTCCAGTAGATCAGTGACCTGACTGTGGTCTTCATGATTTCTGTTATTGAACACATGGTGTCTGTTATCACACTGGTGAATGATGTTTTGTAAACTAAACTCTGAATTTTTAATAAAGTCCTCAATACTCATCTTCATTTCCTGCAGATCATCTCCTCTGGTGAACAGCACCATGGTGTATCTTCTGGATTCATCGCCAAACAGATCTTGGATCATCTTCACTGCATCTTTCTCCTCTTGTGTGAAGCGTCCCAGTGTAAGAACCAGCAGAAAGACGTGTGGACCTGGAGCTGCCATGGTGATACACTTAGCAATTTCCTTCCTGACCTCTATCTCAGGAATATCTGTATCAAAAAGTCCTGGAGTGTCAATCACAGGGATCCGTCTCCCTCTGACTTCAGCTGATTCTTTCTGACACACACTGGTAACTGATCGAGCGCAAAGCAACTCTTTGAAAACTTTATTTTCCAGGATGGTGTTTCCTGAAGCGCTCTTCCCCGCTCCAGTCTTCCCCAGAAGCACGACTCTTAGTTCATCTCTACCTGGGGAAGATTCTACAAAGAAAAAATAACAGCCATGTAAAATAGATGAGATACATGAAGGATATAAAAACGTCAGACAAAAAAGCCAAACTTGCTTTGCCATTGTTGTCAGGGAGGCTTGTCTATCCTTTTGAACACTGCCATTAAAATTTAGTGAAATCAAGAGCAACACTTTATTTGTCCCACTTCAAAACCAGTGCATAATTAAGAAAACTGTTGTGATTTGACCTTGAACTCTGGTTCCCCATCTGTTTCACAAAGGTTGAAGTGTTTGTCTGAATCAATGAGAAATTTATTTTAAATTTATCCGGCATATGATCTCATTAGCCATTACTTTAATTAGAGTTTAAAACAAAAGCTTTGACCCACACCATTATTTTTACATAAAAATAGTGACCATAAGTTAGTAACCAGTGGCCATATTCTGCCAGTGAGTACACTGTTTTTAGTTATCACCAAACAGTAGTTAAATAGTCCAACCAATATATCTACAGTAAATAGTTCTTGTCAGTACACTAGGCCAACTTAAAATTCAAAGGCAACTCATTGCGCAGCTTCTTTGATTTATCTCAACTTGGTTTGGTTCTCCTAATTCACATTTCTTAGCACTGCATCTGCAAGTTAGGTCAACAATACAGTTAAGAGTAACCTCACTAAAAAACTGAATGTACTGCCTCCTCACAAACTGAAATTACTTACATTTGTTTTGTGTACGAGAAAGAATGAAAAGGTTGCTTCTGCTCAGACAGACAGCATTGCCTGTGCTAAGCTAAAGCAGTTTGTGTTTAGATAAATCAGTGCTGAAATGAATTTATTACAAAGTTTTTATTTACACATCTGTCTATCTGCCTGCACACTGGGAGATGGCGGTGGTAATGCTTTCTCTTACAGTTCCTTAAAGTTCTAGGTATTAACCTGGTAACTATGAGGTACAAAGACAATAATTTTGGGTAACATGATGGTGAGTTCCAAGACAGTTTAACTAAATTATAGTAAAATGACTAACACTAATAAGCTGATGTAACCTCACACAGGAGGCAGCACATTCACTGGTTTTTGAGTGAGCTCAACTTAAACTGTATTGTTGACCCAACTTGGACAGAATACCAAAAATGTGTGTGAGGTGAATTTCTAACTAAATTAATTTGAGAAAACTCAAAAAAGCTGTGCAGCAGGTTGACCCAACTTTTTTGTTTTACAGTATGACATAAAAATTGCTTACCTTGTATCTGATTTATTTGTTTTTTAAGATTACTGATTTTATTCCTCAGTTTTCTAACCTTAGCCACATGTGCACTGCAATACATGTGTGCTGTATAGGAGCTTTCACCGTTTTGTACTACCATCTGCTCTACATATTTCAAAAGCTCTGACTTTCTGTTGGTGTCTAAAACATGACTACGTCCTTTACAAGTTTCAATTATATCTTTAGTTGCTTCATCTAAATCTACTGTTGCCTGCTCAGTCTCTCTAGTGATGAGGACCATGGAGTAGTTGCTGAACGTGGATCCAAAGATTGTCTGGATCTTCTCTATTTCTTTTTTGTCTTCATCAGTGAGACGTCCATCAGGAATGACAAGGAGAAAAGCATGAACTCCAGGATCACAGAGAGAGACACAGCGGAGAGTCTCCTGCATCACTTCCTCCTCTGAGAGCTGAGTGTTGTAGAGAGCTGGCATCTCCACCAGAGTGACCAGACATCCACACCCTTCTCCCTCCCTCCTCACACACACTGAGCTGGACTCTGGACAGCGCTCTCTCTGACCCAGTATGAGATCTGATATGGAGGACTTCCCTGTTCCATCACTCCCACACACAACCAAGTTCATCTTTTTACTCACTGAGAAAGAAATAAAACAGTTATTATTTAGTCTTTAAAAGAAAATATATGAATAGGAGTATGTGACACATCAGTCAGGCTTCATCATTACTTCATCATTATTCTTATTAAACAAATCAGCAATAAGATCTTTCCATCTGAATTGTGCTCTGAATCAGTTTGCTCACTTACTTGGAAATAAATCAGTGTACCCATCAATAAACGAAGATTTGGGTATCTTTTATGGAGTGATAGAAAACACAGTAGTACTTGGAAATCTCAGATTCTGCACACAAGTTTGATTATGGACATGAGAAAATGCACTCCTCTGGCAGCATATTTAAGGAGTGGAAAATTCGCAGAATGAATTGTTAGTAAGATTCTCAGTAAAACATCAATATATGAATATTGATCAGATTCTGACAGCATAATTTTGCCATTACTGGAAATATCGTTTTATTTAACAGTACTGTAATTACCTAGTATTTAATAGGTAAATATGTAATGATTACAAACTATTTCTGATATATACTTTTCAAGTACATAGTAAAATGGAAAATTACTATATATGGACAGTATTATTAATGTATTAGTGGACCGTAGTATTAGTGCTTCAGTTCATTTTAATTTTAATTTAACAGGTAAAAATGTTATCCTAGGAATATTTAGACTGAAATACTATTGCAGTACATAATACTACACTAGTAAGTATTACTAATTTGCTTCAGTAAATACATGCATGCCCAATAGAGAAGTTAGGTAAGTTAGTTTTGTGGGGCAGTGTTCTGTTATAAAATGCTAATGGCAGATGCAAAAGAAGGGAAGGGATGGTAGTGCTTGCATAACATGCACAAATTTTCTCAGCTTTTTTGCTGCTGTTTTACTGCACTCTATCTGTTTTACTTCAACAATCTAAGAAAAACTCAGCTAGTTTACATTGTAGTGCATGTAGTTATTGAATATTAAGCCTTAGTATATGATATGCCTGAGATTTTTGTTTTGTGAAATGTTCTCCTGACTGAATTTGCCTAAATTTCATTTGGGATTTTTTTTTTTAAGTAGGGTTTCCTATTTATTATCCATCATTGGATAAAACCCCTCAAAACCACTCAAACATGTAAATATCATATTGGGAGCTGGGACAGTCACTCTTTGGGCTGGTTACTGTAGTCTAACATATTGTCACCGTTCAAAGAAGTATCTCCAAAATGGTAACTTTACAGGAGAGGTAAAAAATCCTGAAACTAAAAAACTAAAGAGATTTTTTTTTTATGTAATTCAATAATAATAATAATAAAAAATGGAGACACTCTTTTTTTGACAGCATAGGGTCATTCTACCTTGGCAACTCACTAAGGATTTGTCTGGTTGTCTGGTAGATATTTTCATAAAAGAGAAATCAAGGAAGCCTAAAAGTTTCATCCATTTAACTATACAACATTTTAAATTTGTGACCTGACAACTAAAAATATTTTTGTCGGCCTTTTTTTATGTTTTTTCCTTGAAGAAATCTTGTTTTGTTTTTAAATTTATTTTCCTAAAAAATGGTCCAATTAACACAACTTTATATGTTAATATTACTGTTAATATGTATGACTTATACTTTTTTTAGTACTAGTTATTAGTTATTTGACTAAGAGACATAATAAAAAAAGAAACTGTAAATAGCAAAACATTGGATTTCCAAACTAAGCTTCTAAAAAAAAAAAAGGCTAAATCCTTTTTAGAGAGGTTTTATGCTTTGGCATTTCTTGTTGACATAATGACAATATCGTCACTGTAGGGACAAATCTTTGTATCCCAAAAACAACTTCATAGGAGAATGAAAAAAAAATCATGAAAGGTCTTAAAAAAAGATTTTATCAAAAAAAGATTTGTTGTAAATATATTAGCATGCAATGACACATCATTCCTTTCACAAAATATTTAATCCACCACTCAGTATTGTCCAGCACTGCACCTACTAGACTAACGCTCCATGAAAGACTTTGTTTGAAAGTCCTGTTATAATAAACCATTTACCATTACTTTAAAATATCAAACTATAGTTTGATAAACTATGATTTGTGTGATTAGAAATATTCCTACAAACATATGAATACACATTTGTTTCACATTTGTTAGGTGTGTTAGGAGTAGTAAGAGTAAGATGTCTAATACTTCTCAAACTTTACAGAATTATATAACACAATCCAATACATCATTAGGTCAGCCAGGATTTCTACATGCTGCAATCCAATATACATTTATATGTTTAGCAGTGATTTGTTCCTTACCTACACTCAACGCCATTTAGTGTTAGTTGTCAAGCTGGATTCTGAAATGAGATCAGGAAGTTCCAGAGAAAAATCAGAAGCCTCCACCTACAACACACCTCCATTTCTAACCACACCCCATTTAAAAATAACAGTTTATATACTCAGGGCTGTATTTGTCCATATGGGAAAATGTATTCTAAATGTATATAGAAGAAAATGCAAGTTCAGTAAACACAAAATACAGTTTTAGACGAACCTTTCATTTACTGATGGAAAAAAAGACGTCCACCAACTGGCCCTGTGCAAGAAATTAAACACCCCTTTAGTTACTCAATCAACCAATTCACCAAATTTTGTTGATAATTGGGATCAAATGATGTAGACACACTCAGGCTTGACTACTGTTAGCCCCTGTGAGTCTCCACTTAAATCACTTAAATAGAACCTTCCCAGCAATGTGAAGTCAGCAAAAAGGTCTCAACAAGCAGCACATTATGCCTTGATCAAAAGAAATTCTGCAAGAGATGAGAAAGAAATTTATTGACATATACCTGTCTGGACAGACCTACAAGGCCATTTCTAAGGCTCTGGGACTTCAGCAAGCCACCGTGAGAGCCATTATCTCCAAAGGGAGAAAATTCGGAACATCTTTCCCATAGTGGCTGGGCTCGCAAAATTCAGCATTAGCACATCTAGGAAATCACAAAAGGACCCAGGCAAACATCTAAGGAGATGCAGGCCTCATTCACCTCAGATAAGATCAGCACTTTTAGATTCCACCTTTAGAAAAAGACTGGGCAAAAATAGTGTCCATGGGAGAGCTGCAAGGCCAAATCCACTGCTGACCAAGAGGAACATAAAGGCTCATTTCCCATTTGCCAAAAAAAGATGGTGCCCAAGCCTTTTGGAATAATGTTCTGTTGGCTGATGAGTCAGAAGTTGAACCATTTGGATGACAATTACATCTGTCATAAAAGCTAACACAGCATTCCAAAATAAGAACATTATATCAACAAATCCTTGCAAACATATTTTGATTCTATAGACTTGTATACTGACCCCCTCTGCTTACACACCTCCTTCTGTGAGAAAAGCTTGCCTTCCTACCAAAACTGTGATCCAAGAACTAGAACACACTATGGTTCACAAAGGAGCTTGGAGAGATAAGGAAGTTCAAAGAAAACAAAATCTTAATAAAACAGTTAGGACAGTAAAATCCAAGTATAAACAGAGTCTGGACCGAGACTTTGGAAACCACAATCACTTTGCAGTATGACAGTCACTTTAAAAGACTGGTTATCAGAAAGACAAAAGTCTACAAGTCATATAATCTGCCCAGCTGGCTGACCAACTCCACAACTTTTACATCCAAGTTGAAAGACAAAAAAGATTGTTTCCACATTGTTCAAAGGCAAGAGCATCAGGAAAGCAGAGGGTACAGAAGGAATTTCACAATGAAACACTGAGTGGACCAGCAAGTATCTGTTTTCAGTAAAATTTCCAACCTTCCATTATGATTCCTGTTCAGTACAACCTGCCATAATGACTACAGTCCAGCAGCCTTAACATCAGCAGTCATAAAATGCTTTAAATGGTTGGTTCTACCCTACTTGTAATCCATCACGACCCTCTCCTTGATCTACTACAGTCTGAACAGATGATGCAGATGTAACCCGCATTGCATATGGTTAACATAGTTTACACTTAAAACCTTCTGGCAAACGAAGGGTTAATCTTGCTGAGAGCCGCTTTGCCAGTAGCAACCAATCAGGGTTCGGCTTTATCCCGCCCGGCGGCTGCTGAGAGAGTGTGATTAGTACAACTCAGCTTTCTTATTGGAGCAGACGGCTGTCCTGTTAGCTGTAGCGAATCACAATTGAGGATTCAGTTGTCCCGCCTCCACCGCTGCGCGGTCTAATTGAGCCCCCCTCCCTCTCCTTTTCTCTTCTTCTCTCGAGCTGAGAAGAGACGAGACGCAGCTGGAGCTTAGAGAGAAACGCTGTGAGAAAACTTGAGAAGTACCTCTAAAGAAACAATAAAAGTTAGGTGTCCTGATGAAAAGAGACCTGAAACCCTAAACTCCCAGTAACGTGTGTGAAACCCCAAAGAATTAGCTTTAACAAGACGATAAATGGTGAGTAAACCAGCAGTTTCCATAAGCATCCTAGCCAATTAGCTCAACACGGATTTATGTCAATGTCTGGATTTATAGAAGTTAAAGTGAGACGAGAACTCAGTGAATGCCTTAGATAAATGAACTTAAATGTGCTTAATGTTGAGAAAGTTAGTTTTTATTGAGTTTTAAGCCAAAATGGGGGGCCGTGAGCAAAAAGTTTTCTTCTTTTTCTCATGGCCATTACTGGTTAGAGCTGGTTTGAGGCAATCCAGCAGAGATTCTAGAACATTCCAGAGGTACATTTTCCTTTGCTTTGTGAAAAGTGCGTTTGAATGTGTTTGTGAACTGAAAAAAGGAGACAATGCTTACTGAATATTAGATAGAAAGTTTTATTTTCATTTGAATATGCTTACATATACACATGTATGCAGTAAGAGTTACAACCTGTAAAAAGAAAGAGAAGTTCGTTAAGTTAATTATATGAAAATGAGTTAAAACTTACCTGTTGTTTATGTGTATTCATTTGTTGTTAAGTGAAGAAAGTGCTTGTGAGTAACAGTGAAATGAGAAATGAGTAAGTGCGTAGAGAAAGTGTTACAGTACCTGTAACAGGTCAGGTTTTTTTTAAGGATCATCAGAACCTGGGA